TCTGGTCCCATTTAGGTCCTGTTATCCTACATAGAACTTTTCTTTCGAATCTCTCAATTCTGGCTTCTAGTGTGCCGATAAGAGCCCAGGTTTCACAACCGTGGAGCAGAACAGGCTTAATCACGGCGTTGTACACCCTTATTTTGAGATTTCTGGAGATTATTCTGGATTTCAGTACCTTTGAAAGAGAGAGAGAAGATCTGTTCGCAACCCCTATACATATATATATATATATATATATATATATATATATATATATATATATATATATATATACATATATTTTTGACTGGTGAATATTGTTTTAAAGGTTATTATAGTTTTAAAAATGGGCTAATGTATATTAGTAAATGTATATAGATAAATTTGAAATAAAGTAATTATTTATCAAGACTGAAAAGTCCTTTTTCTGCTGATAATTATTATAGTCTCTTTCCCAAGAGACTATAATAACATATATTATATATCGACTTTATTACAACACTTTAAGGTTATATGTCGTAACCTAATAATCCCTGCCGCCATTTCTTTTGAGCATGACAATTTTCCTCCCGGAGTTCTCTTACTGTAATTGTCTCATGAATACCTTCTATTCATCTCTTTTCCAGTCGACCAAAAAGGTTCTCAAATTTTAAATATACACCCTGTACGGTTTTTAATTTAGAAGAATTGTTTCCGCAACAAACTTGCCGGATGCTCAGTGGAGACGGTAGGGTTCGCAAAAAAACAAACAAACAAATAATCAGGAGTAAATTAAATATTAATAACAATCTAACAGGTGCCACGCTATTTAATTTTTTGAATTTGGAAAAAAAGCGAAAACCATAAAAAAAAAAAATTTAATTGAAAAAAAAGCGAAGTGAGCTACGAACTCGGAACCTATGGGTTTAAAAACATATGTTAATTAATCTCATAACCAATCGAACCTTCTTACTCGGTTAATAATGACTTTCCATAATCCCTCGAATAGGGTTTTACAATTCCATATTAAATCTAAAAAAAAAAACAATTTAATATATACATAAAACGTGAAAATAAAAAGAAGAAAATAAAACTGGCTATTATTAATACTAATGATGAATTTACTCATTTCTATTGACTTAAATGACAGTTAAAAGAAATGAAAATTATGAACAAGAAATTAGATTTATAAGAAAAAAAAGAAAATACTATTAACTTTAATTATCAAAAAAAAAGAATATAAGAATTATTATAGAACTAAACATTAACTTAGACTATACAATAAACCAATTACAAATATTGGAAAAAAATAGATAAGAACAAAAAAAAACTATTTATATATATATATATATATATATATATATATAAGTTATGGTTAGATATAAGACTGTATAATAGTTAATCCTATCCATGAGTTGTAAACAAACCATAATACTATATATATATATATATATATATATATATATATATATATATATATATATAGCATTACTGAGGAGTCAGTCTTTATCGAGCAACCAAGTGTTTCATTTCGTATCCTTTCTTTCTTTTTTTTATTATTTCCTGTTCGGACAGTCGTAAGTTATATATATATATATATATATATATATATATATATATATATATATATATATATTTACAAAACCTCACTGGTTGAACTCCAATCGGCACATTGAGTTATCTGAGGAAGCGAGAACTTATTCGAGCTACTAGTCTCTTCAGGATCTCCCCAGTCCACTTCTTCAAGTTGTGAAAATGTTCATTCACCTAAATAGGCTAAAGCTATCTGAATATCTGATCTGAATAGGCTAAAGCGTGTGCACAGCGCCGCTAGTTGCCTGGCAACCGGATAACAGAGATTTGAGATGATATAAAAAGTACGAGTTAGCGTCCCGGTGCCGGAGGGGATTTTAAATTCCCCGCCCTCACCCCCCGGCCCAGGAAAATCCCGTATAGCCTTAAAGGCGAGGTAGGAAAGAACAAAAAAAAAAAAAAAAAAAAAAAGGTTCTTGGGGAGGAAATGAAAAATCCGTTATACACCGTAAAACTAAAGCCATCTCTCTAAACTCTCCTTTTATTTTTCTCCCTCATATGTTGGCTGTTATACTGACTTAAAATTAATACTTAAAACTAAGACTTATTATAAAATAATACTTATTATTAAAACTGATATTAATTCCTTAATTTTATTTAACCTTCTTCGAGGTAATACAAAAAAAAAAAAAAAAAAACATTACTTTACGAACTAATTTCACTTTCACTTATGTATATATGTAATACATAGTAAGGGTAAGTATCGCGATCGTGAAAATTTTCGAATCTCAGTTTTCAACAGAAACACATGTTTTGAACCCCCCTGAGTCCGAATAACGAAGTGTCGCAAAATGGTCTGTGTGTGTGTGTGTGTGTGTGTGTGTGTGAGTGTTAATAGTCTATCTCATAAACGAAAAGTAGTACGAAACTGATATTAAGTATTTAAGGTTTGCATATGCAGGCGCAACTTGCGCCATAAAACACCGTTCTGGGGACCTTAATGTCCTTCTCCACTAGCGGATCCAGGATTTAATTTGGGGGGAGGGAGGCTTCAGCCTGAAATCTTTGCATATGACAGTAGTAGTACGAAACTGATATTAAGTATTTAAGGTTTGCATATGACATGACAGTAACTTTTTCGTTAAAATCGTCTAACCAGAAGTGCCACTTTATATCAACGCTGAAACACATTTTTACAATTTTCTCAAAAACGGCTCTAACGATTTTGATTAAAATCGGTGTATGATTGTACAATTAAGTGACCTTTAATATCATTTAGGTCTTATCCTCGTTGATGTCACTTTACAGGGCTTAAATGTCCATTGTTCATATATGTCTTCCTCTAAAGTACCTTTAATATGGTTTATTTTAAAAAGTTAATCGTTTCGCATTATTCCGAGTTACGAAAAAATGCTACATATAACTTTTGAAAGAATTTAATAAGTTAATAAAGGAGAAAAAAAAAATTCAGAAAAACCTGCGTTGCTATAGACTGTACCGCCTAAACGAATGTACCGATTCAATCACCACCTCCGGAATCAACTTAATCACTGTCTGCATAGATGACCTTTTCAACTAAAAATATCACTAAATTGACATTACTCAAAAATGTTGAAATTGGAGTTATTCATTCTGTGGTTTATAAAAGCAAAGAAAGTTGTGTGGTTTATAAAAGCAGATGGAGTGACTAGATTTTTATTGCCTACCGTCGATATATTAAATAGACATTTTGTAATTAAAATGGTCTTAATGACTTGTTATCTGTAAGCTTTAAGCTTTAGCTCCGTTTAAAATTTTATAATAGCCCAGCATTGACTGAAAATAATTTCTATTCAAAGTAGAGCGGTAAGTGAAAGTTGTGTGTTGCGCGCACCAGATTTTTTTTTTGTATTTTATTTTTCGTCACAACCCGTCAACGACGGGCACATCAGCTAGTTTATTACATAATAATTTTAATGTTGTTCACCTGTTACAAGCTCAGGGTTAGGTATGAAATCCTTATCGCCATAATATCCATGAATGATTACAATTAGTTCACCATCAACAAGAGGTAAATCATCAAGATCATTTTCTGTAATTTGTATCCCTTCGAAACCAGTCTGCCTGCAAAATACAGAATTGTTCATGTTAATTTTTAAATTTTAACAAAACTCTATGCTTATGTCGTCTATAATATAATATAATATAGCCTCTGTAAGGATAATGGTTCGTCCGTACTATATTTTACTTCATGGTGTTTGTACCCAGGGGTGCCCATCCCTCAAGGTCGATAGCGCAAGAACCTACCCCTCCCTCTTCCAAGATATTCTATTGCTCACCTTTTCATAAAAACAGAGCAAGGGAAAGTAGAATTAGAAAAATCGTAGATCATACACAATCACACTTGCTGCGGTCAGTTTCTCAATTTTCTACTTGTTTCTTCTTCTGAAACTTTTCATTCCGAAAATTCAAAAACTCGTCAAAATATGCCCCCCCTCGAAATGTATGAAGGCGCAACTTGCGCCATAAAACCCCGTTCTGTGGACCTTAATGTCCTTCTCCACTAGCGGATCCAGGATTTAATTTGGGGGGGGGGAGGGAGGCTTCAGCCTGAAATCTTTTTTTTTTCATAAAAATTATGGTAATTGCTTTGGGAAAAAAGAAAGAAACTAACTACCTATATGAAATGGCGTTTAAGTGATTCCTAAAGTCCTTTTAAATGTAATTACACGAACAATAATACTTTAAGAGAAAATTTGTTAATATTTTTTTCCATAAAACATGGTTATATTTTACCATTTTAGGGGGAGGAGGGGTTCAGCTCCAAAGTCCCTCTCCCCCCCACCCGTAGATCCACCCGTGTTCTTCTTTAAAATATATATATATTTTTTTTGTTTGTTTATTTAATGGAATTTACAACTGTATACAAATACAACTAGTAAATATGCGCAAATATAAATAATGGCATGTACAGGCTTGAAGAGTTACTACCCAGTGGTAGCACTCTCTAAATAATTTTAAGTAAGAAGATCACGAGGCCATCTCCTTTTCAGACGCCTAGGAGGATTATCAGGAATCGAGAAAGAAGCAAGAGTGGAAACAAGCGGATTTGGATGGGACTGAAGTTTATCATGAAAGGATAGATATCTGGCTCGAGCTAAATCAGCGACATATGGTACATTAAGGTCTTTATGAATGGTTTTATTTGTGACAAAGTATGGAGCATTAAGGATTTTGGATTGTAAGGATTGGATACGATAGGAATTCGATGGTTTGGTGGAGCCCCAAAGCTCAACTCCGTATGTCCATATAGGTCTTATTATAGTTATGTAGATAAGTCTTTTGTAATTAATAGAAAGTTTGGAGCGTTTGGCTAGTAAGTGTTAGAGCAGTCGGAAACTCTTTAAAATATATTTTACATCTTTTAATAAATAGATTTAAATTGATAAGAGTATGTACCTCCTTGGGAAAAAAATCGATATCGTTAGAAGACCGTTAGAAATTTATATACATACTTATATATTTACCTCGTTCTAAACCAGAATGTGATATGTTTACTTGGGCAAACATCTTCTGCAACGAAGCATCGTTCCAGTCCAAACTGTGCGTTAGTGACTGTTGCACACAGTGTTATAGCACCTATTTATATAAAAAAAATAATAAGACAATACCAAAAACCAAAGTATAAAATATGAAATAAACAAAAAAAAACCTAAAAATTTTGAAAGTTTATAATATATACATTACGAAAACGAGAGTCTGTCACTTTTATCATGCTACCTGAAAAAAAGGTGGCTTACGTATAGAATAATAGCGCCCTAACTTAAGGATCGAAACATGAATATTCTTTGCGAAAAATGTGTGAAAAGTTTTATTTTTTATATTATATAAACGAGTCTAAGAGCCAATTTGTTTCATTTACACTTAAACATGACTCTTGTCCTCCAGTGTTCTTTAATAATATCGCTCTATCACCTTCAAAAACTGTACGATATTTGGGTCTCCACTTGGACAAACGACTGACATGGACATACCACATAAAACAAAAAAGAAAAGAACTTAATCAGCGATACGGACTTCTTTCTAGGCTACTTGACAGACGTTCTAAATTATCTGTGACTAATAAATTAACTATTTACAAAGTCCTCATTAAACCACTTTGGACATATGGAATCGAACTATGGGGAACAGCAAAGAAATCAAATATAAAAATCATCCAGTCATTCCAGTCAAAAGTCCTTCGGAAAATTGTAGACGCACCCTTTTATGTTTCAAACCTCACGTTACACACTGACCTTAACACTCCTTTCATCACGGCAACTGCCACTGACCGCTTTAATAATTTTCATGACAGACTGACTCTAAATTCCAATCCACTTACTCAAGCTCTATCTACTGCCACAAATCCATATAATCCGCCCAGAAGACTGCTGAGGCGCTGGCCAAGAGACTTATTGCATTGAGCTACTTGCTGCATTATCTTTTTTTTTTTGTGTGTTATTCTGTTAATATGTATGTGTTATTTTACTACTGTTTTTTTTTTTTTTTTTTTTTGTTTTGTTATTACTATTATTTTTTTTCTTATGCTATCATTTCTTGTCCTTGATATCATATTTGCTGAATACCGAGGTAGATGGCAAATTTATTGTGAGCCAGGAATATGTATAACTAATAAATAAAAATATATATTATATATATATGAGTTTAAAAATGTAAAAAACATAATTGCAAATGTTGACCACCAAGGAAAACCGTTTTATTTATACTAGTGTTCGACCATAGTCATTAAAAATTTGAGCACAAAATATAATTAAATAAAAAATAAATTAAGAGTAAATCACGAATAAAAAAATAAAAAAATCCTCATTTATTAATATAAACAAAATTTCAATTTCAATTAAAAATTGAGCTTAATCTGCTTATAATTATTTATAAGTAATACACAATAGACTCATTCAAAAATATTTAATTTATGTGTGTTATTATCACAATAAATTAATGTTATGATTAAGCAAGTAAAAAATAAATTTAAATTAGCAATTTCAATCCATTTTTATTCAGAACTTCTATGTAAACAGTTAAACACTTTTTGAATGTTATGTTATTGTTTAGTGCATAGCCTTGCCTCGTGCCATTCAAAATATAAATTTCAAATATTTTAAATGAACGTGCTCTACATGCTGCCACATATAATTGTCCATGCGAAATTAATAAACACATGTTTCCAAATTATGGTCCAGTTTATGCTCATTGCAAATGCAGCTATTAATAGGAGCGTAGTTCTTTGCAAGTCGAATGAAAGTATTGTGTCAGAAAATGTTAAATTAATTCTTGGAGATAAAATTCTTTAATTTAAATTAACCCCCGTTTGTACTTCACTCTCATTCGTGTTTCATTAACTAATGATTGTGCAATATATAAGTTAAGAATGGGCACAACTATAGAATTTACTTAGAAGATTCCAATAACATTCAATGATATCATATCTTCAAATAATAGTCCAGATTACTTCATTTAATGTAAAATTTTCGATTTATCAAAAAACAAAAGAATGGAAATTGACTTTGCAAAATAAAACGAACTAAATGTTTAAAATGATATATGTCTGCAACAAATAGTTATTATTGGTACGTGTACTTTTTGAGTTATTCGCCAATAAAATACTGAATTCGTCATAAAAATGTATACAGCTTGTTTTCGGGAAAGTATGTTATATCGATAAATTATAAATGTTTCAAGGGGAAGACTTAAGCCAAGTTTCATTGAAATCGTTGAAGCCGTATTGATGCTACAGTCTAAAGCAAATCACGTTTTTCGGCCGCCATTTCGAAAGGAAAGACCCAATGATAATGAAATGTATACAAAACACTTCTAAATATTATTGTGAAGTTGTGTCAAAATTTAAAAGAAATCGGTAAAGAGCTTTCGGAGATTAGCAGTTTTGAACAAACTACCATTTATATTTTTATTTACATACTATTTAATATGTTTATTTATTGATAGCACTAAAGCTCGTCAATATCTATTGAACATAAAAGAAGGGAGAAAATCGGTTGAATAATAAAGGAGTAAAAGGGGCTGAACCTTGTTTGTGTTTGCCTATTTATATATAATGCCTAATATATATATATATATATATATATATATATATATATATATATATATATATATATATATATATATATATATATACATATATATAATGATTTTTGCCATCTTTTTTTGTTTTGTTTTTACCAATAATTCTAAGCGGTGAATCTAAGCGAGAAACGTGCTCTTTAAAAAATTAAAAACGGTTAAAATGTGCGTCGAACGAGTAGCTAAACTTAAAACGATAATGAGCTTTATGAAAAATATGGATTAAAATATCTCAGATACTAAAAATCGGACCTGCATGGTGTACGCGAAGGAATTGTTTAACATTTCATCCTCTTTAATATAAGCTATTATTTATAGTTTATATTTTATATTATTAATCTCGCCTTGTTGATGTTTTTACTTCTATCGTGAGGTCTAAAACAAAATAAACAAAGCTTACGCTTTAGTTTTTTTACTTTCCTACCTATAATATGTAAGGAAAGTATTGCAATCGAGTCAAATTTCCGATATGCGGTTTTCGACGGATCTATACGTTTCAGAGCCCCCTGAGTCCGAAAAACACATTTTTAGCCATTGGTCTGTCTGTCTGTCTGTGCCAAGATTTCCTCGGGAACTACTGAACGGATTTTGTTGCTTCTTTTTTTAGTTTTTAGGGTTTTGACTACTGATGCCTGTGACGGAAATTCGGTGCTCCATGCGCAATAGCTTGCGCGCAATAAACGAAAAACATGTTTTCCTATAGACCGTAGCGCGAAAACGGCTCTAACGATTTTGATGAAACTTTCCTATAATGTTCTAATAATTTTTCTTTCAATTTTCGTATATGGACTAAATTCCCGAGAAAATTCGGGAGAAAAAAGTTATAAAGAAAAGAAAAATGTTATGGGGCCTAACTCTGTAAGTGTATATTATACGGTAAAATTTATAATAAAACTTTTTAAAGGTAATTAAATTAACCACAAAATATAAAAAAAATCATCGTAATCGAACCAGTATTAGCGATGATACAGCTTATTCTATTTTTTACACATGTTTTAACTTACTACTTTCCTACCTATACTAGGTATTGCAATCGGGTCAAATTTCCGATATGCGGCTTTCGAGTGTTATATACGTTTCAGAGCCCTCTGAGTCCGAAAAACACATTTTTAGCCATTGGTCTGTCTGTCTGATCTACCTTAAGCCGGTTTACATTGCTTTAGGTTATCAAATAAATCGTACTTTTTTCGTTGATCAAGTTTTAGGAAAATAAATCGAGTTCAATTTTTTTTTGTTTCTTCATAAACATATGTAAAGATATAAAAACTTTTCTGAAATAGGTAGGAAAGACGTGTGAATGGACACACCAGATTTTTAAAAATATAAATGTTATTAATATATATATATATATATATATATTTTTATTTTAATGAAATTTACAACTGTATTACTTTAAAAATATGTATTGATATAGTGAAGCTAAAATAAGAATAAGATAACATAATAATAAGATATCAGTGGATAACAAGCTAGTGGAGGTTACATTTGATAACTGTAGGTAAATAGATGACGGGACTAAAGGTTAAGAAGTAAAGAAATTGAATGATTAATGGAATAACATTAGTGTATTATTATATTATCTTATTCTTATTTTAGCTATACTATATCAATACTTATTCAATTTTTAATCTATTTATTCGTTAACATTCATTTTCTTCATCTGTTAACCTACAGTTATCAAATGTAATCTTTATTAGTTTGTTATACACTCATTCCTTATCTTTTATCGCAATCTGTTTACTTTTAGCTTACATGCTATATTCTCCTTTGTTTTCTATTTTATTCATACTTATTTTCCATTTTTGTTTGTATCTTCTACATATATAATACTTGATATTTTAATTACATTGTCACCCACTATATCTCTGATATCATCTTTTTATTTCTATATGAGACAACTTCTTCTTATTTTATATCTACTTATATTCATTTATTTTATTTTCACCACGTTTTGTATCTTTTGTAGCCCCGATGAAGACCTACAAAGTGGGTCGAAACGTCGGGAAAAATTAAATAATAATATTTGTTTAATTTAGTATTTATTTGACCGCACCCTCCGATCAGCTCCTTCTCATATTATATCAACGATCAGCCATCTCTACATCATTCAAATTATTAATATTTAAAAAGAAAAATAGTTTCAAAATTTTTCATCAGATAATGTCAATATTTTACACGGACTACTAGATTTTATTACAATTGCGGCAAATTTAATCTAATTGCAGCATAGGCGCAAACTTTTTGTTGCACTGGAGAAGAGGGGGGGGGGCGACGGATCCCCAAAAAGGTAGCGATCGCCTCTCCATGAATTCCAGTGCATTTTCGGTAAAAAAACGTCATTGCCAATTTTAAAGAAAGTATTATCTAACATGTTGCAAAATTCTGAAAACTTAATGAGAAACGGGGCCGTGAGAATATACCATTTTAAAACAAAAATTTCTCCTTGTTTTGCATTTTTCCTCAAACAAACAATATGAGAAATCTAACCCAGGAAACACTTGCCAAAACACCCCAAGGTGAACTCACCTTTCTAACAGACAAGGGTCTCCTTCTGGGACGCTGTGCATCTATATGTGCATCTTCAAGATGGTTATTGAAGTCTATTTAAGAGAATGGAGAAAAAAAAAGTATGTTCATGAGAACTCATTTGAAAGGAGAGTTATTCATCCATCAATCCATCAATCCATCAATCTATTCATCAAGGATACAGATGATTAAAATAAGAATATGAACAAGAAGGAATAGTTGTCAATGCTTAGAAGATGGAATTTATGTCAGCCAATAATGATTACATTGAACTGACTCCTGGAGGGGCAGTGAAAAGGATACAAAACTTGGAATATCTTGGCTCCGCAATGGAACAAGATGGTTCTTACGATGTAAAAATACATCTCAGGATCACAGAAGGTTAGGATATTACATTAATATTCAATATTATGGAGTAGGAATATCATTTCTAGTGTTGCCCAAATGCGAGACCGTGACAAGTCTTGGTCTGGCAAACTCAGTTTTGGTCTTGGTGTTGGTCTTGCTCAAGAGTCTCGTAAGGGTCTTGCAGTTACTTATTAGCTTATTACTGTAGAGATATTACTGTAATTTTTTAGATAGGAGAAACCTAAGTAAGCCCGAATGAAAAATCAGAGGAGTTAAATGCAAAAGTATATTGGTTATACCAATTATTTACGTATAGTAACTAAGATTGTCAAGTATCAGCAACTATTTTATATTATTTTTTATTCAAAATTCGACTTTTTTTACGAGTCCTGGTCTTGGTCTTGCAACAGTTAGGTGGCCTTGGTCTTGGTCTTGCACTTTGCAAAACCACGACCGATTTTGGGCAACACTAATCATTCCAGAAAACCGAAAGGAATACACAGGTGGTGTCCTGTAAGTAGAGGATGTGGTCTTTAAATGGTCTTACAAATGACAAACTCTATTTTTATTTAAATTCAATTATGTCTACATTTACTGTGAAGTAATTGTTAATTACTTAAATAAAATACTTCTTTCGTTATCGCTTTCTATTCAACAAAAAAAAAACAAAAAAAAAAACTCAGGTGTATGCTTTAGACGTCACGATAGAAGTGAAAACATCAACAAGCCGATATATTAATAATATAAACTATAAATAATAGCTTATATTAAAGAGGATGAAATGTTAAACAATTCCTTCGCGTACACCATGCATGTCTGATTTTTAGTATCTGAGATATTTTAATCCATATTTTCCATAAAGCTCATTATGGTTTTTTTTTCCAATAATTTTATGAATTATTGGTAAAAACAAAACAAAAAAAGATCGCAGAAATCATTATATAAATAGGCAAACACAAACACGGTTCACCCCCTTTTACTCCTCTATTATTCAACCGATTTTCTCCCTTCTTTTTTTGTTTAATAGATATTGACGAGCTTTAGTGTTACCAATAAATAAAAATATTAAATAGTATGTAAATAAAAATATAAATGGTAGTTTGTTCAAAACGGCTAATCTCCGAAAGCTCTTCACCAATTTCTTTTAAATTTTGACACAACTAATAATAATATGATAATATTTAGAAGTGTTTTTGTATACGTTAAAAATATTAATACATTAAAAAGTTTTAGGTCCTGAGATATTTTAATCCACATGCAAAAGCACTTCAATTAGTCGACTTTACTCGAGCGTTACACATCAGAGATGTGACAGCTCAATGTAATGAATTACATTGGAGTGTGAATACTCCACAAAAAAAAAAAAAAAAAAAAAAAAAAAAAAAAAGACGAGCAAAACGAGCCTAAAGATGTTTTCAGTTAAAAAAAAGATAAATTAAAAAAAAAAACTTTTAAATTTACTACTTGTCTAATTTGAAAATTGGCACAAATATTTGAGAGAGAGAGAGTTTGTGTGTGTGTGAGAGAGAGAGAGAGAGAGAATTGTATTTAGCATTACGGCATATGGATCAGAAAATTGGATCATGCAGGATCAACTTAAGAAGAAACTGCTGACCATTGAAATATATTATTATTGGCCATGATTGCTTAGAATACCCAGAACGAATTTAAAAGAAAAACATATAAAAACAATCCGCGGTATAAACCCTTTTAATCACATCGTTAACATCAGTCTAAGATTTCGTGAATGGCTTCATCACTCCCGACATTTTTTAATAACGATAACATAGATAGGTAGAAAAATAACTTTATTCTGGGGCGAAGTCCCTTAAGAATAACAGAGTATTATAGAAAAAAAAAAGAACTGTTACATTAAAAAAATATCTGGTGTGTCCACTCACACGACTTTCCTACCTATTTCAGAAAAGTTTTTATATCTTTACATATGTTCATGAAGAAACAAAAAAGAATTGAACTAAATACATTTTCCTGAAACTTGATCAAACATAAGATTTGTGTACGATTTATTTGATGAACTAAAGCAATGTGAACCGGTTTAAGGTAGATCAGTGTAAAAATTTCAATACTTCCCAATATTTCGGATCAAAAACTTTTTGCCATAGCTTAGTATTGTCAAACAATAATTTCTGTTAAAAGTAAAGGAAATAGTGAAGATTGTGTGATGCGGACAACAAATTTTTTTACTTTCACTTAGTCATCTTTATTCTCTTATTCACCCCTTTCTGACACCAGGATATGAAACCGTAATCTTACGTTGGAAATTGAATAGCTGTAATTTCGTTAATAGTTGTCCAAAATAAACGATTTTTATATGGCTTTGTAGGAAATTTCATTACCTTTCAAACGACAGGATAAAAGGGTGCTCTGTTTTTCGGACTTAAAGGGCTCTGAAATGTATAGATCCGTCGAAAACCGCATGTCGGAAATTTGACCCGATATCAATACTTTCCTTACCTAGTATAGGTAGGAAAGTAATAAGTTAAAATATATGTAAAAAAAATAGAATAAGCTGAACCATCGCTAATACTGGTTCGATTCCGATGATTTTAGCGTAATATATATACTTATGGAGTTAGGCTCCATAACATTTTTCTTTTCTTTATAACTTTTTATCCTGAATTTTGTCGGGAATTTAGTCTATATACGAAAATTGAAGGAACAATGATTAGAACATTATAGGAAAGTTTCATCAAAATCGTTTTTGCGCTACACTCTATAGAAAAACATGTTTTTCGTTTATTGCGCGCAAGCTATTGCGCGTGGAGCACCTTTCTGTCACAGGCACCAGTGGCCAAAACCCTACAAAATAAAAAAAGAAGCAACAAAATCGGTTCAGTAGTTCCCGAGAAAATCTTGGCACAGACAGACAGACAGGCCAATAGCTAAAAATGTGTTTTTCGGACTCAGGGGGCTCTGAAACGTATAGATCCGTCGAAAACTGCATGCCGAAAATTTGACCTGATTGCAATATTTTCGTTACCTAGTATAGAAAGGAAAGTAATAAATAGATAAAAAAACTTAAGTAAACAAACTGTATATACAAAAGAAAAATAATGAGACTATTTAAAAAATACTATAACTATGTAAAATACAAATAAGAAATGAAACAAAATAATCATTGCTTAGCTAAAAAGATAAAATGAAATAATAAACAATATTAAAACAAAAAAAAATATAGGCCAAATATTATTTAAATAGACAAACACAAAACGGTTCAGGCCCTTTTTCTCCTCTATTATTCAAAAGATTTTCTTCCTTCTTTTTTTTGTTTAATGGCCATTGATGAGCTTCAGTGTTATCAATAAATAAACATATGAATTATTGTATGTAAATAAAAATATAAATTGTAGTTTGTTCAAAACGGCTTATCTCCGAAAGTTCTTCACCGATTTTTTTGAAATAATAACACAACGTCGCAATCAGATTTAGGAATGATTTTGTATACATTTCATTATCACCAGACCTTTATTTTTGAAATGACTGCCGAAAAACGCGATTCTTTTCAGACAATTATTTGTGGCAGTAAGTAGAGCACGTTCGTTTAAATCTTTGACATTTATATTCCCATAGGCAATGGGCATGGACTACTTATTAAACAATAACAGAACATTAAAATGAACATTATTTACGGAGATGTTCTACATAAAACTTGATTTAAACTGAATCGAAATTGTTTATTTAAATTTATTTTTTACTTGCTTAATCATAATATTAATTTATTGTGATAATAACACACATAAATTAAAATTGAAATTAATTATTTCGAATGAGTCTATTACTTGTAAATAATTTTAAATAGTTTAAGCTCGATTTTTAATAGAAATTGAAATTTTGTTTTTATTTATAAATGAGGATTTTTGAATGGTGATTTACTCTTTATTTATTGAATTTATTTAATTATATGTTTTCCTCAATTTTTTAATGATTATGGTTGAATTTCGACCACTGGGCGAATACTAGTTTTTATAAACGGCCCAATATTTTTATAGGCCATCTTTTTTCCAATTGTATAGAGTTCTTCCCTCAAAACAAATAAAAATTGATTGATTGATTGATAAATCAGTGAATTAAATAAATAATCTTATATTGAAATCATTTTTTACATATTTTTTTTAGAATGATCCATGAAAATTGTGCACGGCATTAAAGATATTCTATAAAAAACATACCAATCAATAGGAGTAGGGCCATTTTGACTGAATTCGTCAGAACTTCGAAGATGGGATTTATAAAGACCCAACCAACAAGGTCGAAAGTGGAGGGGGCACCTGAAATATTCGGATTTTCTTTGTTCTTTTTCATATTATGCAGATAATTATAATTTTGTTTTCAAAAAATTCCCTGAGGCATTGAACTGTTATATTCTGCAAGGGATTCTGCAAGTTACATTAACTGAATAAATTAAAAATCTCTCTATCGATCAATAATTGGATGAAAGTTATTTTACAAATCATAATACATTTTGGCAAGTTAATATACTTCATATTACTTCACAGTTGTTTTATCAAAATGGATGAATATAAGTTTTTTTTTTAATTTATTTAATGAAACTGTATAAACAATACAACCAGTAAAAATGCACACATTAGAAATTATGACGTGAACTAACTTGAACACTGCCCAGTGGTAGTACTCCCTATTTAATTCTAGGTGAGAAGATCACGAGGCCATCTTCTTTTCAGACACCTAGGGGGATTGTCAGGAATCGAAAATGAAGCCAGGCTGGAAACAAGTGGATTCGGATGGGACTGAAGTTTATCATGGAAGGATAGGTATCTGGCTCAGGCTAAATAAGCGACAATATGACTGGTTTTATTTGTGATGGAATATGGAGCATTAAGGATTTTACGAAGGATTTTGGATTGTAAGGATTGGATACGATGGGAATTCGACGGTTTGGTGGAGCCACAAAGCTCAACTCCGTATGTCCATGTAGGTCTCATTATGGTTAAGTAGATGAGTCCTTTTAATTAATTGAACGTTTAGAGCGTTTGTCTAGTAAATGTTGGAGCAGTCGGAAACGTCGAGCGGTTTCTTGTCGTTTCAGTCTGGTATGCGGATTCCAAGTGAGACGTTTATCCAAGTGGAGTCCTAGCTAGCGGAATAAAAAATTTAAATTAAAAAAACCGACAGTACAAATCGAAAAATCCTCTCCATATCTATTGAAAAGTCTTAGTAGATTGGTCGGGAAATTGAAAACAACGAATATTTAAGCATTGCTGCTTGCCATATCTCGAACAAAACTAAATACTCTTTCGGATCTTGACACATGGGACGAAATCTATTTCCCAGGAGCTGTAAAATTTGGAAGGTGGGATGGGCACCTCTGACACCAAGTTTAAAGATACGTGGATATATATAATTTCTTAACAGTATACTAAGGAATTTAAATAGATATGGAAGTAGATTCAGGGTAGATATGATTCCCGATTTATATAGTCTTTTTTTATTTAAAATATGTTTTTATTTTACCTTTTTTAGTTTTTTAAGTATTGGCAATTCATATTGAACACTTATGATCAAGGTCTTACATATAACATGATATGAAACCAATACAAATTTGTGAATACCTTGAAGCATAACAACATATTTTTTGCAGTATTTTTAACTCGAATTGATTCAAAACATTGATCACACTGAGTCATTTGAAGTATTTAACTTAAAAATAGGTCACGTCGTTAGCCCAATAAGACGTTAAATACCTTTAAACTATCAGATTACGATGATTTAACACTATGATTTGTCAGTCTTTTATGACCAATATCGTTCGCGAGAATCTCATTGGAAAATCTAGACCACTAAACATATATATCGATTATGCTGTTCGCTCAAAAAATCGTTATATACTTTTTAGGAAATTTATTAAAAATATTTTATTTTATAATGGGTCTTGGAGGTTGGGTATGTAGCTCGTAGCAATCCATCTGGAAGCCTCTATGTAATAATGAATGTCCCAATAGAAGGCAAAGGACCATGTGGAAAGTCAAAAAGCAGATGGATAGATAGAATAAATAAAGATACAATACAGCTGCGTGCAAATAAATGGAAAGGAATAGATTTTTTTTTGTCGGTTATAACCAGCGTGAATATAAGAATTGGTTTATCTGTCTTATGACACTTTGCATTATAAATATTTTTATTTCTCCTTTGATCACTGACCAATTATACTATGTGAATTATTTATTTAAAGATTTTCTCTCGCCAGTCAAAAACCTAGCAGTCAACTTTGATCAGAACCTTTTATTATTTATCAAATTTTTTTTAGTCCGTTCGCAAGATTTAGTCCGATCATTTCGAAGGTTTACTCCAGGTAGGAAAAGCAGTCACATTTCCTCGAAGTTTCAGCAAATTTTTTTTTAAAGAAATAGAAACTTTAAATAACTCAAAAAGCAATTTTTTGTCCATCACACCCATGATTATTCAAAAGAAATCGGATTATTATTATTAAAGATTATTGAAATCCGTAGTGGTTCAATACATAGATTTTTTTTTTTTCCTTATCCCCAGTTTCTTAAAGGTTTGTTTCTTACATATGGTTAGCATATTCCTTTTACTGTGTCTTAGATACATTTTAAGGTCTTGCTGAGCCTTTCTTAGTTTTCTTTATCTTTATTTCTGGACTTTAATCAAGGTGATGGGGCTCACCTCTATCTTGATAATTTTCCTAGGACTATCTTATAATCTAACTTACAACTATATTTTGCCATCGCCGAGGAGATACATAGATGAAGTTTTAAATTATTTTTTATTTCCTCTGTCTATTTTAATTAGCGAGAAAATATGAATTGATTTATCTGTCTTATGATACTTTGCAATCGATCACTGACCATTTTATCTCTTTGTAGCATCCTTTGTTTATCCGATTGTCCTTTGTTGGTGTATGGAGGATTGCCTATAAGAGAACTGAAGAGACTTATGAATTATTTATATGACTTATAAGGTTCATCTTTGGGACTGTTCAGACACGCACAAACCATTTTACAGAAAACTAGACTATTTGAACTCAGGAGACCTCAAATCGCTCAAAACTCTTTTATTGAATACAAATAAAATATTAAGGAAAAAACAATTATTTTTATTGTCGAACTAATAGTGAGAGCCGGTAGAATTACGTAATATGAAAACTTATAGATAACTTGAGAATGTGTTAATTAGCTTGAAACGTTGTTAATGGCATAATTAAGCGGAGGAAGTCAAAGGGGAATTCATTCTCTGGGAACACCTTATATGGGTAACCAATAAACTTCTGAACCACATATTTTTATTTTAAATATTCAAAATTATAAATACATAATAAAAAAAAAAAAAAAATCTATTCCCGTATCTAATCCTTGCAATCCAAAATCCTCCGTAAAATCCTAAATGCTCCTTATTTTGTAATAAATAAAATTATCCATAAAGACCTCAACATTCCTCTTGTGGAAGAAGACTTGGCCCGAACTAGATATACCTCTTTTCATTCCAAACTCTTTGGTCACCCCAATCCTCTAGTTTGTAACCTTTCATCCAACACAATTCCTGATAATCCTCAGAGGCGTCTGAAAAGAAGATAGCCAAGGGACCTCCTAAATTAATTCATCTTTGAAGTGTTACCAATGGGTAGCTTCTTTACAAGTACCTTCATGTAATATATTCCTATAGCAAATTTACTGGTTGTATATTTGTTTACAGTTGTAAATTTCAATAAAATAAAAAAAAATCTAGTACACCTTGAATTTTACGTAAAAACTGGAGATTAAAGATATATTTTTGTGACTGAAGTAACAGTTCAAAGGGGATTACTATTCATCAATCCTTTCGAGAAATTTTCATAATTCTCTCTAGGATTAATGATGGAAGTAAAATGTGGACCTTATATTACATCAGTTTGTCTTTAGTTGCATGTTCAATCGCATTGCTTTTGTTTTTGTATTTTTTTTTTCTTGGAAACAATATATTTTTTTTTATCGTACTTTATCATTTTTAATGATGTAGAGATGATTGACCGTTGATATAGTATGAGAAGGAGTTGATCGGGGGGGGGGAGGGGGAGGTGTGGTCAAATTAATACAAATTAATAATAAATTAAACAAGTAGAACTATTTAATTTTTGCCAACGTTTCGACCCACTTTGCAGGTCTTCATCAGGTCTACAAAAGACACAAAACATGGTGAAAATAAAATAAATGAATATAAGTAGATATCAAATAAGAATAAGTTGTCTGATACAGAAATAAAAAGGAGATATCAGAGATATAGTGGGTGACAATATAGTCAAAATATCAAGTATAATATGTAGAAGATACAATCAAAAATGGAAAATAAGTATGAATAAAAATAGAAAATAAAGGAGCATATAGCATGTAAGTTAAAAGTAAAGATTGCGATGAGGAATGAGTGTATAATGTCTCTCACCACTACACTGAGTTAAGGTGGCTCTTCTCCTCCTTTAGAAGACGATATTTCCTAGGTACGTTCCTCTATCAAATCATCAACAACCATCGTCCTTCTTACGCCTACAACCTTCTCCAATTCAAGTCCTCAGTCCATTCCCTTTCAACAAGATCTCGACCTTCTGACCTTTACATCCCTTCGCACAGATCTGCCTCATTTCAGAATTCCTTTATAGCTCGCGCTGTCAATTTCTGGAATTCTCTACCTATCAAAATTCGGCATTCCCCACATTCAAATCCCTCCTATTCCAATTCCTATCCCAAAAACAGTCAGATACTTGCTAAACTTTCGATATTCTAGTCATCATCAAATGATAGTACTATTCTATACTGTGAACTTATAGGATATTACAATATCTTCCGGCTCTTAATGCCACTGACCACATCTTTTTTTTTTTTTTTGTTTTATTTATTATTATTTTTTATTGGTATTTAATTAAATCGGTACTTCTAGCATTTGACAATGATGAGTCTACATATTAATCATTATTTAAAGACACTGATATTTTATATTGTCAGCTTTGTCTTTTCTTTGTTAGCAGAAACACACCTCATTTTAAAGAAGAATTCAATTTATTTTTTATTATTTCATTTTTCAAAAGAGTATTATTATAATTTTTCCTACTGTACATAGTCTTAAGTGTTTTGTATATAGATTTTTTTTTTTTGTATATAGCTTGTTTAACTAATATTTTCTTTACTTTCTCTTTTTTTATTATTGTTTATTTTGGCCAGATGTAGTATTTTAATTATGTTCTATTTTGTTATTCTAAAGGGACTTTGTCCCAGAATAAAGTTATTTTCTATTCTATAACAAACTAATAAAGATTACATTTGATAAATGTAGGTTAACAT